TGTATATAGCAAATATATGTATATCAAAAGTTAATTTTTTATACAACTCTATGCACAATATATATATAAATATAGGAAATATCAGAAATATACAAAAATAATTTCTACGATTAACTGAACATGATTGCTTTACCTGATTTACATAATGTTCTCAGAGGCCTGTAAAATAACCTTTGGATGTACTATATTTAATTTTAATAATACAATAATTCTAATTTTGTCTTTATTACTGTCCCTTTGATTGAGTTTTAGAAACTTTTGTACGACACCTTCCGGCAAAGCTCATCTTTTTACACAGATTCTCATTGCTTCTCTGAAGGTTAACAGTACACGATGAACTGAAACGATCACTCATTCAAGTAATAACCATGCCTCTCATTGTTCGACTTTAATGATCCCACGAAAACTAGTTGTTTCAATGAGGTGAGACCATTGACCAATAATATTCTAATTAAAATTTTAAATTGTTGAGTATCAATGTAATAGCCGTTATTACAATCAACATGTTAAACATAACTTCAATAAACTTTCCTCAAATATAACAGTTATTCAAATGATTGTTCTTCTTCTGGACTTAATGCATGTTCTACACTTTGTTGTGTCACAAAAACACTTTGTGTCTTGTTTGTCATATTTGCTTGCTAAAAAATAATCATTTATTATAATCTAAAGTATATTTTCTAATCAGAATATTATAAAATATATAATTTTTTAATTACATACCTGCGTAATAGTTGTATTAGTGTGATTACTGTTAGGCATACACACAACAACCAACTTAGGTGCCACATTTTGCAGATGTGGTTTTTGTGAATTTACGTTATTTTGCGCAATCTTGACCTGTTGATGTTGTTGAGTCTGAGATTGTTGTATTGTACTACTATTTATATTGGATGCAGTAGGCGTTTGAGATCGTGGTTGTAAAATAACATATTTCTGACCACCAGCAGTGGTTGTATTAGCAGTTCTAGTTGTATTAAGCATTATTGTTCGTCCTGTTTGTTGTCCAGGACTTGAATTTGACACTGAAATATTTTCTAATAATAATAAGAGAAAAACAAATCATATTGTATTATTATCAGCATAAAATATTATAAATCTGATATATTTATCTGAATAATTATTATATTTTATCTTTTCCTTCTTTTTCTCTTAAATGATATTAACACGTTGACTATTACATTGGTCACTCATAATCAGTGTTGATTTTTTCAATGTTACGATAAAACATATCAAACTTACATCGCAGTCAACGTATTAAATATCATTTGTCTTGATAAGAAAGGAAAATCTATAAATATTTCATGTATCAAAATGTTATTTATAATAATAATAATAACTTTAATTACCTGTTTGTACAAGAGTCTTGGTAGTGCAAGTTGGTCCTTGCTGTTGAGTAGTAGTTAATGTAGTCGTTGTAGCAGTTGATGCTAATGCTGTTGGTTGTGTTCGAGCTTTAGCTACTGCTGCGCACAATGCCGGTCCTATATAACCGTACTCCAATTTGTAGTCCTCAACATAATCTGGTGCTGATCGTACTGTTTTTAAAACAGGAGCTACCGATTTCTGAAAATTGTCAATATTTACCCTGTAACTAAAATCTTAGAAGATACAAAATAAAATAAATGTTCTTTTATTTATTATATTTTGTACTTATTTGAAAAATGATTCTCGTAAAAAATAGGTAATAAATGTACTTACTAAAAGTAATGTTTTTATGTGACCAGTACCATTTTTATCAATGCTAGATAATGATGGGGATTCAACGCATGCTTCAAGTCTATCAGAAATTAATTTCAATTTAGGTATAACCAAAGCTTTTATTACTTCTGGACCTAATTCGCATAATCCTTCAATTGCTCCATATAAAGAAGCTAAGGGTGTCTAAAAAAGAATTTATCATTAGTAATATTTATATTATATATTTATGTATATTTATAAAGTTATCTTACATCTTTATATTTAACTAAAGCATGACTGAACATGCGAGTTACTCTGGTCTGCACATTGTTCGTAGAAGTATTAAAGTTTTTGCAAATTTGCGCCAAGAGTCGAGAAGCAAAGTCTCGCAAAGCCCAATGATTATCAGCTTCTGGTCTCATACACAACTGACGTGAAACTATACAGGTAGCGACTGATGGTATTAGCTCGTGAAGCTGTAAATTAATTTCATTAGTAAATTAATAAAAAGACATATTCACATAAATAAATAAAAGTAAATTTTACATATACCAAATGACTTACATATTTTTCAAGATACAGACTTGGATTATCAAGAAGTGCTTTAACCATCCGCATTAGGTAGATAAGTAATGCAAGATGATTTTGCACGACATTAACTCGTACACCCTCTGCAATAAATGTACACATACGAGCTAACATCTCATGTAAACCTGGATCCGCAGACAATGATTGTAATGCTTCTGCTCTTCGGCCTTCATCTGAACCAACACATGCTTCAGTTATTTCCTTGTAGTATAACTGTTGTTCAACGCTTAATTCGTGTGTAGCTAATTGTTTTACATGTACAGTTTCTACATTGCGTAATTTCTGGCTTTTTCCACCACCACCTGGTTTTCCAGCACCTATATTTTGGCTCTTATTATTTAATTTACTCGTTGGATCAACGCTTTCCAATTTTTGAGCCTCTGTTAAAAAAAAAGTTATTTATGTTAGTCTTGTTCATAATGATATAAAAACAATAATAAGTAGAAATATTATTACAATTAATAAATGACAACAAATTGATTACCTTTGGATACTGGAGGTGGATTTTCTGGTATTGTTGGTTGTACTCCATCAATACAAAGCCAATGAGCACGTAAGCTAATTTCTAATGGTAATTTGGGCCATGCTTGTCCACCAGACGTAGAAATAATTTCATTCAAATCTATTTCTTTGTCTTCTACAAAATGTAATTCACGGCCTCCACCAGAAGCAAATCGAAATGGTATATGATCTTTAGAAACAAACCCATAGGTTGGTTCAATATTTCTTATTTTTAATGCATGATCTATATCATGAGTTGTAATGCGTTTACGTTTGCCATGGCTCATAAATTTTGCAGCATCCTATAAAATTATAAGAATGACATAATTCAGTTAGCATACATAAGACGTTACTTAGCTGACCCATTACATTAAATAATTAAACATTACATTAATCTAAAATTTTTTAAATTCTACATTTTCTTACACATATATAAACAATTTAATATTATTTCCTACTAACCTGTATGATTTCTTTCAGTCTGTAACTAACATCTTCAGCAATATCCTTAGCCGCTTCATCTGGAAAGTTTCCTACTCCTGCGCTTTCTGCAATGACTTTTACAGATTCTAGTGAAAAAGTTGTTCCATACATAGAATCGTTTTCACTCATTTTTGATAAATATTGATTATTACACTCCACATATGATGTTATACAATATTTATATATAACTATATTTTATTTAGCCTGTCAATAAATCTGAAATATTATTTATCATTAGCAAAGTAAAGGAAAACCTAACCTACAAATATCTACCTAATAGATATTCGTGGAATAAGATATTTGTAAAATAATTATTATGTAAAGAAGTATCTACCATTTACAAATAAACGATTTGTTTCTTTCATTTTAACATCCTTGAATCTAATATCGATGATTTTTTCCTAATTGTTAACTTAAATAAACTACTTTTAAATGTCTACATTCTATATTTCTTAAAATTATAGAAACACACGACATTTGTAAATATGTTCTTTAAACAAATTGGAGAAAAATCCTTTTTATATCAAAAAGGAATGAAATACACTTTTAGCACACAAAAAACGTGTTTTCTATCTATAAGGCAAGCACTAAACTAAATGCTAAGCAGTGATCCCAGAGACTTTAGTTCGTTTGATCGACACAGGGGCGAAAAATTATCGTACACACCGGAAAATTATCGTACGCCACCGGAAAAATTTGAATTACTGTCATTTTTCGGATGAGATTTTCAAAATCTGGAAAAAGAGTGCAATTTCCAACTTTTTCAAAGTTGACGACCTTCTTCTTCAAAATTCTATCGTAAAAACGATGAAAACGACGTACGGCAGGGAGAAAGACTTGTTCGTGTATAAAGATCGTATACAGATCATGGTGGTGCTTAGAAATTTCGATTCATTATCGGAAAATCGTACCCGTTTGCAAAATTTGATGACTAAAAAAAAAAAAAGGGTCATCAAGTTTTCGAAATTCAAAATTAGATCGTACAGGCTGAATTTTGGATCGTACAAGGCCTCAAATTATCGTACGAATGGGATCACTGAGTATTCACGTTATTTCTAAAGTCTTCTTAGTAACAACCGGACTGTTGGTACCAGTGATCCCAGAGACTTTAGTTCGTTTGATCGACACAGGGGCGTAAAATTATCGTACGCCCCGGGAAAATTTGAAATCCGACAATTTCTCGGACGAAATTTTCAAAATGTGGAAAAAGTGTCCAAGTTCCAACTTTTTCAAAGTTGATGACCTTTTTTTTTTTTGATCGAATTTTGGATCGTACAGGGCCTCAAATTATCGTACGCGTACGATAATTATCGTACGAATGGGATCACTGCCAATGAATCCTAAAGATTTTAGCTTAAACCCAATACACAAAAAAGATGGCATAAAGGCGCGTTTACATGAGATTTATTAATTAACTAATAAATTTAATGATAAAATGATATAAAGAATCTCATAAACAAAAGATATGTTCAAAGTAGTATAATTTTTACCAGCATATTTCCATTAGGATTTTGTTTTCATATTGTAATTTTTTTTTTTAAACTTTTTTCATTATAATAGGTAACAATTAAATATTAAAATATATATATATTTTTATTATTTTATTTAAGTATATATATATGATTCAGCTATTTAAAATTCTGACCACAAATATTGAAACATACTGAATCATTTAATAGCATTATTGTATGAGTAAAACATTAACAGATTTTTATTAAAAACATTTTTTAATATATATATATATTTTTTTTCACTTTACAGGACAAGATGATTAAAATAAAATATATAAGCATTATTGTTCTTCTATCTGCATTTATGATAGATGCAACAATAGCAAATAATACAACACAAGATAACAGTAAAAAAAAAAAACAATATCTAAATCTATTTAATTCAAAGCGATTTATTTACTTATATATTATTTCTATTTCTTATTGTATTTCAGATACAAATATTAATCTGCATAATAACATAATAAATAATACATATGCACATTGTGAATGTATTCAATATAATTGTGGATGTTGTCATTACTTAACATGGAACTCGATTTCATTGGAAGGATTGCGTTAGTTAAATATTTTAATACTGCTTATATATATTATTATTATATAATATATATTTATATTTAACTTATTATGTGTGAAATATATTACTTTTAGTATGCACAAATGCATCTTATTTGGACAAAGACTTGGGATTTTCTGTTACTGTTTCGTACAATGATTTAATTATAATAAATGAAACAATTTCAGGTAAATTTAGCGATAATTTCTAATTGAATAAATATATTTTCTGCATATAATACGTGTACATATACATATATACGTTTTTTTATAGCAAGAAATCCACCTCCAATTTGCTTTGGTGAATATATTATACCAAATCTAAAAGCAGAAATTTGCTTGCGTTTATATGATATAAATATAAGTAAAACAGATATTCATGGATGTTTTGAATTAGAAGCAAGACTTATAAGAATTAAAATATTACCAATACAGTTGGGTTGTTTCGATACTAAAATGAATACAGTGAAAATAATAAATGAAACAGAAAATATGATACATAAAGGTCCTGTCGTAATAATGGTATAATTTTATAACGTTTCATATTGTAAACTACAAATATTGTTATATGATACTATTCAAAATATTTGTGGTATAATATTATCCTGTTAATATAATGTATGTCAATTATTTTGTTTTGTATTTTAACAAAATTGTTCTATTTTGTATAAATAAAATGATTATATTTCGTATCAATATATTTGTATTATTTGCAATTCAAGTATTGATCAATAATAATATTATTAAACATTAAAAAAGTATTCCTTATAATATACACATTGATTTTTATATAAAATGAAATAAAAAAGTAAATTGTTTTAAATATATAAATTGAATAAATAATCTACCTAGTTCAGCATTGCGATCAGAAGCTTTTTCCATTCGGCAGCACAATCATTCTGGAAAAAAGAATAAGTGAATATCTTATTGGTAAAAGAATACGATTATAACAAGTAAATATCAAATGATTTATATATTTAATTAGGCACACGTGCATATTTATTAAACAAATAATATAGATAAGTAATATTACATTGATAGCGTGATACGCAAATGATTAAATACTTAAAATAAAGGATGCATGAGATTGATTATCTCTCTCGGATAAGAAGAAAGGTCACCGTGTAATTTGTCATTAATTCAAAAGTGCGATCAGAAGCCGTTTAAAGTCTTCGCTGCAGTCGTTCTGTAAACGTAAAAGAAAGAATTTTTGGAACTAAATTATAGTTTGCGTTAATATAGAAGCAATCGTGCGCGAATATTTGTACTATATAATCATTCTTTTATATATATATATAAAAATATATGTATATATATATATATGTAAAGAAATGTATACCACACGCCAAAGTATACATTTGCATGCATGCTCGAAAAAATAAATTGCAATTAGTATACTTGGTTAATTTACACACATGTAAATGTTTATATTAATTATATATATATATATATTATTATTAATCGACACAACCCTTTTGTTACAATTACATTTTCATTTATCGAAGCCCCTAATTGTAAGAAAGCTATAAATCGGATAACGTAATGATCGAATACTAATCGACAGATTTATAAAGTAACGACAAATTTGGAAACACATTTTTTTCATAATAAATTATAACCCTTATCTTGTAAGACTTCGATAATTCCTTTCTTTTGAAAAGTTCGTATAATATCATTTTAGATAACGCAGAACAGCATGATCTATAAATGGGATTGTCTGCATTTTATTCAACGAAAAAAGAAAAAAAAGGGAATTTAAAAAACTATTTGAACAAACGCACACATATCAAATCATATTCACCCTCTCGATCGTGATAATAATATATTGAGAAGATATTAATGAACTTTCTAAAAAAGTTCAGAACAAAAAATCATTACGTATCATCCATAGTATTAAAATACGATTTAAAAAGCAAGAAATAGTTGTTGAACGATCGGAACGTTTTCATCCGAGTAGGGCAAGCAAGAGTCTCTTGTAGTCACCGGAAGTGTCATCCTGAAATTTATGGAAATTTATGGGAAGGTAGGATATAACGCGAGTGAGAATGTTAAAAAGAAAAGAAAGAAACAATATATGTATATAAATGAAATTGATGCAATGACAACGAATACTATGCGGTTATACATATATATATATATGTATCATTGTCATTTAACAAGATCGATCAACTTACATCAATGTCACCTGCAAGCGATGTTCCATAAATCTTTTGATAATCATCCTTGATGTCACCCAAATCAATTTCTGATCTAGCTACTATTATCCGTATTAAAGTTGAATCAGTCGTACCAATTCCACTCATAGCTTTGTGTAGTCTTTCTGCAAAGTATGCAGTTTTGTCTCGAGCGCATTTTACTACAAATTAGAAAAAGAATAAATTTTTTCTTTAATTTATAAAGGAAATATTTTTATTTTTTATATATTTTTTTTTAATTTGAATTCCATGCAAATTTATTCAATTAATTTTCATATTTTCTTACCAACTGCAAGATAACCATCTTCGAGAGAACCTGAAAATTCTTGCTTGATAGCTTCTTCCAAGGAATGGCCAGCAAGGCGTTCGTATTCTTTAAAAATTTGTCTTAATTGTGGGAAACTTCTTGTAATCAGTACAGCGTTAAATGTACTCTCATCAGTTCCCCATTGTTCTTCACCAGCAGATAATAATTTTTCTGCATCCTCTGTTGCAGCTGCTAAGTCGACTTCTGAACTTTCATCTCTGTTTGCCTAAAATAATATTGATTTTATATTAATTTCAATTCATATTTCTTAATTTCATTTCATAAATTATACTTACGCATGATAGTGAAACCAAGAGCCTCTTGAAATGACCGGAAGTATCACTTTTGAGGTCATCTTCCAATTCAGATCCATATACTGTGAATAATAATTGACTTTTATTACATCAGTAACATTATTTGATCTACATTTCTTGTCTTAATCATATATATATATATATATATATATATAATTTGAATTATTTATGAGAAAACAAAACCTTTATCGGTTAAAATATATTATAAAAGAAAAAAGCTTACACTCTTTGTAAACAGCAGCTATCGTTTTGACGCCATAATTGCTAAGAGATGCGAGAACTTCAATGAGTGCACCTTCGTCCGTACCCATACCAGAAATTGCATCGTGCAATTCTTTGGCATAAAATTCTGGTAGAGGTGTCATTAAGGCGACAATAGCTTTTTCAAAATTCCCGCCAAGTTCGGACTTCAATTCGGAGATTAGATCTTTGCCATACATTGTTTTAAATTTCTCCGCAATTTCCATTCGTTGAACAATTCCGCGATGAGCAAGGACATCAATAATTGCTTGTTCATCGGTACCAAAACCCTTCATCGCTGTTCTTAACAGAGCTGCATCTTCCTCGGCGTTGAAAGGATCAGCCGGGTAAACGGTTGGCGTGCACTGTGTTAATGAGAGGGAAATTACAAAATATTCTTTTGTATATACCGAACTTTGTTCGTTTTTTTGTCGTGTTTATATGAATAAATACATACCTGTACGTGATAATACTGAGTGGGAGACATTTCTTCTTTTATCTTTAAAAAAACAAAACATCAATGTTCAATTTAACGTATTATATTTTATATATTATTGATTATATTACAAATTGAGCTTTCCGCGACAAGGTGTGTAAATTATTAATAAACTACTTTAATTATGTATTATCTAACGATGTAAGGAATATACAATTTGTCGTATTTCATGTAACACGACATACCGGATACTATCGATTGACTCATCCTATTTCATAATTATGAGGGCGAGGTAGAATGTTAGTAAATATCTATGTCAGTACGTTTTACAATGCACGCAAGGTTATCGATCTTTTCAATTTAAATCAAATGAAAATACATATAAAAATAAAGAAAATAATTAACAAATAGATAGAACGATAATTAAATATCGATTAATACGAAATATGAAACGTAGTAGGTAATTAAAAAAGAGACGCCATTTTGGTTCTTTTCGATCAGAACAGAATAAAAATGCTATTTACGAGTACATTATTCGAAAAGGAAAAACTATAAAAATGTCATTAAATTGTAGATCGATCAAATAATTAAAAATAAAGTATTATTATTTGGGCGTAACTTCTTTACCTTTTCTTTCGTAATAAAATGAAAGACGTAATATTTGCCGAGCACCTTTACCGGTATCAACTTGTTCTACTAAGTGACTTGGTTGCTATGTGTGCTTCTTACGGTATACTGAAACCCTGGACCAACTGTAGAAAGTGGGGAGGGATTGTACGAAGAAGAGGAGGAATAAAATATGCGGCAGTGATGTGAAAAGGAATTCATAAAAGCCGACGACGATTCGTCAGACTTATTCAATGAAAAATAAACCGTGTATTACTTAATTGCATTGGTATGTTTTCTTTTTTTTTTTTTTATCAAGCATTGTTTTAAAGATATTTTAAGAAATGAGAGTCAAGTTGAGTTTGAACTAAATTAATATTAAATTATCAACATATTTATGATACTTTGTTAATCTGTAAATCTATTTTTAAAACATGACGTCTGTTTCAATAATATAATAACATCATTGTTTGCAAATGGAAAACTGTTAATACATAACTAAGAGTCTTTAATATTTTCAAGATTAATTACATAGTAATCGATATCAAGATTTAAATTGTAGTATATAAAGTAATAAATAAACGTTAAAGCAAACCAGATAAGTAATAAACTTATCTAATTTTTTATTGCAATTTGAAACATATCATTGTTATAATTTAAATAGTCCTAAAAAAATGATTTCATGAAACAGTAAAAAGAAAAAACAGAGAATGCGTAGTAGAATAAACAATTTAAGATAGTGATATTAAAACAACTATTTGTGTTCACCTGCAATACCTTCCGGGTAATCGATAAATGAAGACCTTAGAACAGCAGATAGAATTCGAAGTTAACTTGCTGTGTTTTAAAGGAATGAACGATACTCAACGATGAGCTGGCAGAGACTGAACCACAAAACTGAGACTGAACATCTCGATTAGAAATGTGAACGGAATGAAAGGAGGAGGAAAAAGGAAGGAGGAGGAAGAAAAAAGAGGAAGAGAGAGGAAAGATGATAGAGGAGAGAGGATAGGAAGAAAGAGAGAGAAGGAATTGTCGTTCACAACAACACAACTACGACGTAACTTTTGTCGATGACGTAAAGGAAGAGCCACGTTTCAAGTTAAAGAGAGAAAAAGAGAAGGTGTGCGCATATATATGTGTGAGAGGAACGAGTCGACGCCCTGGCATATTCGTCGAACCATCATCGATTAGGATTTGCAAGAAAATCAGGACAAGGTGATCGCATGATTCATTCAATTAGAAAAAGGAAGACAGAGAATGAAAAAGTAGTAAGACATGATATTGTATAGGAAAAGAGAAAGAGAATAGTAACTTATATATATATATAAAGGAATAGAGATGAGGAAGAGAATAGCGAACAAGTGACGTAATTTTACATTCAAAAAAACCGCGCTAGTTGTTCTATGACTCAGACTTTTTTAGCATATTAATGCGGTTAATACATATATATATATATAAATATGTTTGTGTTAGATAAACGAATGATTTGTTCTTTGATACAAAAAATTTGTATTTTATAATTCTATTCATTTTCAGAAATTAACGCCTCTACCAAAATAGATCATTAGTCATTAAATATGCTATCTTCGTGACTTGAGCGTCATTTGAGTCATCATTTAATAACGTAATGCTTGTGACGTGATAATTCGTGACACGTAAAATACGTACAAAAATGACAAACAGAATATATAAGTATATGAAATCATATGTAAGATGCACGTATGAATAAATCATTACAAGGAATTATTTTATTAACTGCATCGAATTCTTTTTCAATTATTTGTTTTCAATACATAATATTCTATTTTAAAATATATTTTAAACCATTACTCATGTAATGGTAAATATAATTAATATTCACATAAGCACACATTTTAAATGGATAATGCGAGTTATTTTGATTATATTTATAAATTCCTTTAAATCTTCCTTACCGACTGTTTCTTACTGACTGATTTTTACTAATACTAATGACTTTACTGACAGTAAATATAAGCAAAATAACGAATTTAAATACTCATATGATTTACAATGGTATGATTATCTTTCTTTAGAGTTGACGTTATAAAAAATACTACTAAATAAGTAGTAACAAGATTTTTAATTTGAGATAATCGATTGTAAAGGATTAATAAAAAGAACACGATAAAAAAATTAAACTACCAGATAACGCGAGTGATTTTAAATGTATATACAGTAATCTAAATCTAATCAATATGTTAAAATATTTGTATATTTTATCGTTCGTAAATAACCGAATTTAAACGTTTCAAACTCATAGATAAAAAGAAAATATCTATTTTGTCAACAGATGGTACAATCAAATTCTAATGACTTGTTCCCTGGAAGAGAAGAGGCAGCTTATTCCAACTTTCGTCTATGGGAATCCACTGGATCTGTGATGATAACTTACATATACAGTCCTTACTTGTGCACGTATACAAAAATTCACATCATGATGATTATTCTCTGCATCGGTATAATAGACTACTTTATTATCGAATGGATAGGTAAAACAAAATCAATTGTTATAAACGAGAAGACAGATTTCGAATTGGTTGTTGATAACGAAGTAACAGGATAATAACTCGTTCAAACGAATTTATAATAATGAAAGTAATTATATATGACTTCTCTGTGTGCAGGAAAAAAAGAAAAAATAAATTAACCAGTATATATATATATATATTCTTTTGTATGATGGAAAGATAAATTAAAAAATAAGAATGATGGATTGAATAATTAAGGTAACAAAATGAAAGAGAGACATAATCATATGTAATTTGTACCACAATATATGTTTTTTATTTTATTCTTGTGGACACCTACTAGATTTTACACAGGTATTCGCTTAACGGCTAAGATTTTTTTTTTCTGATTTCCTTTTAAATACGTAGTTTTTAATGTTACATTGTGTGTCCGTGTTTGCTGTACGTGTTAACGGTGTGTCCCGTGTGTTCATGTATCTTATTTTTTGTTTTTTGTTTTTTTTTTCATTATGTTTTTCGTCTAAATTGCTAACATTCAAGCTAAAGCTACGGCTTGCTTAATTTAATTGTATACTTCTTGTGTGCTTAATCATCGACTTGTGTGTGTTATTTTTTTTTATTTTATTTTATTTTATTTTATTTTTTATTTACTGTGCATCGAGGGCCAACGGACTAACGTCATATTTTGCGAAAACGACGTCGCGTCAAATGAGATCGATTGAAATAAATCAAACAAATCTCTAACGTCACATCCGCTGATAAAGAAAAGCGTACGATCCCGCGTTTAGGAAAAATCCTGGTATTATATTTTATTAACTGTTTTTCTCTTTCTCTCTATCTCTCTCTCTCTCTCTCTCTTTCTCTTTCTTTTTATTTCATTATTTTTAATAATAATTCTTTGCCTTTATTTTCTCGTATTTATTCTTCTTATTTCTCTTTCTTCGTGTGTGTATGTGCTTTTTTTTCTTCCTTTTTACTTCTTCTTCTTCTTCATTTCTATACCTTTAGTTAACCCCCCCCCCCCAATTCCATCCTTGATCTATTATTTTCCTATGACGTTACGATTTCGCTACGACATTTTGTTCCCATAGCTGTAAAATTTCGATTATTCATCTTTCGCATGGTGTACCCATGGTGTGTATGTACCTTATTTCGTGATTATTTTTGTCCTTTTTCCCATTCATTCCATCTTGTTCTTCACCTTAAGTTCTTCTTCTTTTTTTTCTTCTTCTTCTACATCTTACCCTTTACATTTGTTCTTTCCCTCTCGTCCTTTAACGAATCCACGTAATTGCTGATTGTATCGCGTAATAACTAGCTTAGTCTGTGTGTGTTTCTCGTATATACATATCAAGTGTAGTTTTTTAATTCGCAGTACAGTTAATATTTAATGTGTGTGTGTGTTGTTTATTTTTTCTTTTTTTTTTTTTGTTATTATTTTATAAAACGTAATAGGAACTTTGGTTTCTCTGGGCGATGTTTCAGGGACAGTTTCCTCTTCGATATTGGATAACAGCGATGCGAGTTTTCGACCAAAAGGAAGAATTTTTTTTGTTAACATCCTGATCAACTTCGTTATATCCTTATTTTATTTTGTCACTTGTTTTTTTTTTTTTTTTCTAACTTTCCATCTTATCCCAGAATTATTATTATCCTTATAAGATTTTCCCTTTTTGGTTTGTTTGTTTGTTTGATGTTGTTCTTTTCATTCTAATTTTTGTATTATTATTATTATTTTTATTGGTAAATTTACAAACGTCATATTACATTTGGAATGATGATGTATGCGCGTAATGTAAAAAAAAAAAAAAAATGTCTTTTTTATTAGCGTAAAGAGCGAGGAAAATTTCGTAATATTAATTCTCTTTCTTTTTAGGTAGATAATATTTATTTTATTTTTACATTTATTTCTTTTATATCTTTTTTTTTTTTTTTATTATTTCTTGCTCGTTTTCTACTTGGAAACTGCTATGAAACATTCGCCCGTGGATCTATGATTTTTTTTTTATGTTATTATTTCATTTTTTTTTTTTCTTAGGAATATGACACTCACGGATACAGTTTCACATGATTTTTTTTTTGTTTTCTTTTACTTTGCTTAATACTCGCGTTTTTTTTTTATATTTCCGCAATAATCTATTGAATATCGATTTCACGAAGAAAATACACATGATTCCTAATTCGTTATACCTTTCCTTTGGGACGTGCGTCCTTTCGATTTCCCATCCCTCAATGCCCACAAACCCATCATTACTACACCACACGCAGCTCGCCTAACAGATTAATTAAAAATCCTTTTTTTTTTATTTCTCTGTCTCTTTCCTGTTTTCTCTCTCTCTCTCTCTCTCTCTCTCTCTCTCTCTCTCTCCATCTATCTTTCTCTTTGTCTCTCTTTATACGCGTAACAAAATTTAATAACCGGAATATCTCTGTACAAACGTTTTTTCTTTTTCATTTTGTTATTTTTTTATTTTTTATCTCTTTTATTTTTTTATCAAAAAGGATAACATACGATTTCCTCAATTTATCCCAAGCCCCATCCCTTTTTAACAAACCCCCTGGCCCACTTAGAATTGATCAAAATTTTGAATTTTGAATTTGTTTTAATAAACCCCGTCCCACCCCTTTATTCACGTATTAGCCTTCCCCCTTTACACCACACACTTTTCATTCGCTCGCCATTCCACTCCTCTTAATTTATGATACAACTCTTTAGGAACAGATTACTTTGCTCGTCGGCACTCTTAATAATTATATAAGATCTTAATAATAATCTCCCTATTTTTTTTCCCCTTCTTCTTCTTCTTCTTCCTTCTTCGTTTCATTCCTCTTTATTTTTATTTATTTATTTATTAATTCTTTTGCTGTCTCTCGAAACACATTGCGCTGGACACATCTCGACGATCTATCATCCTTCTTCATTTTCTTCCATCTTCTTGTTGTGTTATGTTTAAGTTAGTCGTTTTTAGAAGTATACTTTAACCATGTCAATTAACTTCGCACAAAATTCAGCTATTTAATAGCCTACGATAATTATTAAAAGTTTTTATATCTTAAATATTACAACGCTTATAATCGATAATCTTAATATATGTACACGGGGCTAAACCACTTGAAATCGCGCACCTAACTAATATTTATTATTATTATTATTATTATTATTATTATTATTATTATTATTAATATTAATATTAATATTATTATTATTATTATAATTATTATTATTAATTATTATTATTAATTATTATTATATTTATTTATCTTCGATCGATTCTCTCTCAAAGTTTATTCACGTAATTAGTTGAATAATTATATCGGTAGTAAATAGTCCATTATTATAGTGAAGGTATCATCTCACGTTATCCCTTATCTATTTTTCATTCATTTTTTTTTCCCCTTGCTTTTTCATATCCATTTCTCTCTTTCCCCTTCTTCCTTCCTTCCTTCCTTCCCCTCTCTCGTATTATTAGAAGAAAGAATGATTAGTTTATTATGGCTTTTCGCTATTTAAATTATCACGTTTAATGCGAACAAAAATTGTGTCAAGTTTTCATCATCGATTACGTTTTTCTTTTTTCTTTCTTAAAGCTTTCGATCTCGTTCCCTTTTTCATATATATATATATATATCGTATTATTTAATTATTTATTTTAAAATTCGATACACAAATAATGATGTTCATATTTGGCGGGGAGAGATTATAATAAACAATATCTCGAAAAAAAAGTTGATTGTTGCATCGATTTACTATGTATGTACGTATTTATGAGACATATATATATTTAATTTGAGCGTGTAGAAATCCTGCAGTTTGTAATATTACATACGCGAATGATGATCTTGTGAACGCTTCGATTTTAATTACGAGGCTAAGTACACGAAGCAAGGATTAATGCTATCATTCAAAATTAATTTGAAAATTATTCTTTAAACAATGACCCAGTCTCGTTTCCATATAGAAATAAAAAATTAGAAAATTTCTCTGTGCATTCATGTGTGTGTGTGTGTGTGTGGGTATACGGTGTCCACGCGCGTCTATGTTCGTATGTGACTTTTGAGAAACGAGATCGCGTTTGAATGATTTATTATCTCATTATCATCTTACTTTTGAAACGATCACGGACTAGTTTTATTTGATTTGTTTGTTGGTTTGTTTGTTTGTTTGTTTTTTTTTTTTTAATTATTTTTTGCGCAAATCTTCGAACCTTCATATGTCACACAAGTTTGAGAAGCGAAGGTGTTTTTTTACACGTCCACGTGGTATTATGAATTTCTTTTTTTCTTCTTCGTTTGATTTTTTTTTCTTTCTTTCTTTCTTTCTTTTTTTTTACGCGTCTTTTATACTCTCAACGTCGCGTTTTATTGCATTAGTTAATTCGCTATGTAAAACAACCATGTAAAACATTTCGTATGGTACATTGAGAACATCGATGGTTTTTTTTACTTTTTCCTTTCTTTTTTTATGCCAATGAATGATTGAGTTCATTATTGGGATCGATTATCTTCCATGGTTTCTCATCAAGATTGAATATCTTAGAAATCTTTATTGCATCCAGTTATTAATCAAGTAATAATAATAGTCGTAATGATTAATCTTTATATATATATTTTTTTTATTTTTTGTTTTAAAGGATATTTTAAAATATTCAATCAAATCGATTTAACATAAGTTCTGGTACTATCTGTTCTCTCTCTCTCTCTTTCTCTTTTCTTCTTTTTTATTTACAATTTATTCGAAACATATAAAAGTCATGCTCGGTTTTTTTATTTTTTGCCCCATGGAACATGTCAACCTATTATCAAGTTCTTTTTAATAGGAAATCGATTTTGATGAGAACCAGATTTTGAAGATAATCTTTTTCATTTGGTAACATAGTTTAATCGATTCGTGGAGTATTATCAACGATAGATTATTCTCATTGAAATTATCATAAGTTGGTAATAAAGATTTCTTTTTTAAAATGAATTAGAGAACAATAAAAAGGGAAAAGTAAATTTTTCGATTTGTTTGCAAACGAAAAAAGAAGAAAAAAAAAAAGGAAGAAAGAAAAAGAGAAACAAATTCAACAAAAAGTATAACATCTTTTTTTTTTTCGTTTCATTTCTCCTTTTAACTTTCGAAAAATGTTCACGAGCAGGACTATAAAAGCTAATTTACAGATTTAGATCTTTCGTATACTCTCTGCGATCACATTGTCCTTAAGGACTTAGTTTCTTATTTTATTTTATTTTATTTTATTATTTTAATTATTCACTTTTCGCTGCGCTTTTCGTTCAGTTTCGGATCGTCGTGGGCCAGGATCGACTCGATGACGTTGCAATTTTTGTTTCTTTTTTTTTTCTCGTTAAAAAAAGAGTTGGACCGAGACGAGATCGTAATATCGATGAATAACAGTCTTGAAAGAATTTTTTTGTTTCTTTTTTTAAGTGAGATCACTCGTCGATCATTGACACGAGGAATGAAACTGAACGATTATAAAAGTACTTCGTTATCTTTTTGAGAATAAAAATGTTTAGAAGGGATCGATCAATCGATCGATATATTTCTTTTCTTTTCTTTTCTTTTTTTTTTTTTTTAAGAATAATAAATTCATTTCCTTCTAATCCTTCCGCAAATTTTTATTCTCACAAAAGCATTAACGATCCTTGAAATTCAACAAACTAGCTTCGTTCTCGGAGACATCGAAACATCCTCGAAGCGATTCTTCTTCATCATCTTCATCTTCATCTTTATCTTCTTCTTCTTTTTCTTCTTCATCTTTCTCACTGATTATTTCCATAGATGATCATCGATCAACGTCGATTTATTCGATCCCCTTCATCATTCTCGCTGTATTTTTTAACGATTGTCTTTTATTGCAGAACCAAATTCTAATAACTTCTCTGTCGTATCCTAAACGATGTGCTAGCGTTGTAATCTCGGTACCTAAGAACAGATACAAATACAAATTATTTATCTAATTTTATCCCAGTTGATATAATAGAAACAACAATTCTTATTATTCATTATTTTCTTCGTTAACCCTTTGACTGTGGTGCGCTTTCGAACCAATCCATTAATATGAACGGCGCTATTTTTGCATATCAGTCTCTGCGACTGTTTTTCCATTGACTACTGACCAAAATAGATAATAATGACAAATATAATAAAAATATGAATTATTCTTAATTTTTTTTAAACTAATTTTTTAAGCTATTTTAATTTACTTTATTTATTTTGTGCATTCCTTCAATAATAATCGGTAATTTAAATATAAAAGAAAAAAAAATACAAAATTTATAATGTAACACAGAGTATAATAACTTCAACAGAATATTTGAATAATTTTTACCTAATTAAAAAAATAATAAAATGATAATGAACGAATAAAGATAATAAAATGAAAATAGACGAATTTCAAATGTAAATGCAATTAACTAAACGATAATTGAAATAATTTCCAATATTTAGTTGCTATGTTACATACCATAATAAATAGTAAAAAAATACAGAGGGCCTATATAAATTTACGCCTTTCGTGTATATATATAGATTTGTGAGAGCGTATATATACGCCTTTAGCAGTCAAAGGGTTAAATTATTAACAGTTAAAACTTTATACTCTTGGTGATATAAATAAAAGAAAACAACAAAATGTATTGCAAAATTTGCTATTCAATTTGCGAATAGAAGAATTAATTATCTATTATTTTGTATTATTTATTTAATGAATTCTCACCGTTGGGATGTGTATTTCTGTCGAAATGAGCGTTGAGCAATTCCAAAGCCTGAGGTGTGAAGGACGTCCGTCTCTTCCTCTTTTTGGTTGGTTCGACTCCGATGAAGTCCGTGAGATGATTCACTCCGCTCTTGTACCTGCAATCACGCGCACTGCTCTCGCTCAAATTCTGTAAAATCGTCTTCTCCTTTCCTATCTAACGCGATAAAATCGTTCGAACGAATTTACTATTAAATATATATATATTATACTCTATCATTTTATCATTATTATTCATATCATTGCAATTTTCCGTATCAATTTGCGTATCATTCGACAATGAATAAATTTATTCAACATTTGAACAAGTTCGAAAGATTTTTTTGCAAATGATCAATTTTATCATAAAATATTTTTCGATGAAATCGATTATTTATTTATTTATTAACGAGAAGCATCATTTTAATGCATAATCTGAATGAATGATATTGAGAAAAGAGAATAGAAAAGAGAAAATTCTAAAAGATGCTCAATAAAGTATTTTACAGATATGATATTGATTTAAATGATATTGAATTATTACTTCGCAATGCAATCATGTATATAAGATAAATAAATATAAATCATATCAATCGGTTATGTCCGAAGAAAATGTAGGATAATACTTTAAATAATCGACTTTATCGAGAAATCCCTATAAATAAATCTAGCGTATAATAGATTTACGTGAAAAAAAAGTGTAAACTTTAAAAAATGGAGAATATATATGTATGTGTCTTCGTATATTTGAAAGTTAATTCGCGTAAAAAGCATTTGTTTCGGGATCGTTAAAACATCCTTCATCTCTCGTCTTTGCTTAACTGGTTTTATTTTATTTTTTTTTTTTTATCTTTCACCCGTTGTTTTATTTTCGTTGATGTTCTTTTTTCTCGATCCTATGGAAAACAGTCACAAAACCGTAGAAAAACTTTTTCGACCAGTCAACGAGAGACACTCAGTGACCCCCCTCAAGCTTGTTGAGAGAGATAAATAAAGTTAGCGATCGCGAATGAACGGGTGAATTGAAGTACGGGAAAACAGTCGTAAACAGGGATGGATATCCTCCTCTTCCTCCTCCTCCTCCTCCTTCTCCTCCTGTATAGTTAAATGGTATTACGGAATTATTAAAAATGTCACGCGATTTGGATGGCAAACAGACCAATATACGACGAGATAGAAGTTAAGTGTAAAAAAAAAAAAGATAAAAAAAAACAACTTTATGAAATGTCTCGGAATACTTTGCGAGAGAAACAATAACTCGTATTTATTTCTCCAACATTTTTTGACACCGATTACACGTGTGTGTGTGTGTGTGTGTGTGTGTGTGTATGCGTAAGTGTGTTCCCCGGTGATTACGAAATATGTTAATTATAGGTAAAACATTAACGTAAGAAATAAAAAGATTTTATCACGATTTCTCTTTCTCTTAGTACATTTTAACGAGAATGAAGAAAATAATAGTACAACAACAGGCAACAAAATTGTCACGTGCAAGACTTGGCACGACAAATTTTCTCTCCAACGAAACGACAAAAATTTATGTTTTTAATTTAAACTCTGAATGACCATCGGAGTCGTGGACCGAAAGAGAAAAAGTGCACCCTCTCCCTCTCTTCCTCTCTCCCTGTCTGTCTGTGTCGTAGTCCTTAGACGTCGTGTCTTTGTCGGATCTTATATCCTCGTCCTTGTCCCCCCTACACTAGCACCTCCTTTGAAACGGGGTTAAAGGCCATTAGCATCGCCCGGTGATATTTCGTCGAATTCGCGAAAACAATATGCTAATGGAGAACGCGTCTGTTCTCTCCTGCGAGAGTCGGAACGATTCCAATGGGGTAGTGGAGAGTTGTCGGGGTAGAGGGGAGAAGAGAACAGAGTGCTGCCAAGGAAGACGAAGAAGGATATTCCAGGAGGTTTGCGGGCTGAATCGGTTAAGAACGTGCCGTAGTTTCCGTGGTGGCTTTACTTTTCGCGTGGGTGTAAGTGAGAAACAACGAGAGAAATAAAGAAGGAAAGAAAGAAAGAAAGAAAGTGAGTAAGTAAGAGAAAGAAAAAAGGTAAAGAAGAAGAAGAAGAAGAAGAAGAAGAAAAAGACGATGAAAAAGGACAGTTGATTCTTGTCTGTGTATGTCTGTGCGCTTAAAAGAAAGAGAGAGAGAGAGAGAGAGAGAGTAGAAGGGAGGTTTGCTGCAGGAGGAGAGGTACATCAGAAACCTGATTTTAATTAGTCCACAGTTTAATTACTCGGCAGATAAATCGTGCACGTGCACCGCATAAACTAGCCGCTTTCATTTTTCCCGGACTGCGATGGCGATGGTGGCGGCAACGGCAACGGCAACAGCAACGGCAACGGCAACAGCAACGGCAACGGCAACGGCAACGGTGGCCGTCGCTAGCGCGCTTAGTTTCTACGTTGAGAGAATGCGAGATGGGTCATTGTTGCTGTGTTTTCTGTCATGACAAGAAAAATGACCAAAGGCATAGAGAAGAAACTTCCTTCTATCTCTTTCCCAAGTTTGTCTTTTTCATTCTAACTTCAGTGATACAGCTATAATTGAGTGGATCTTTGGAAGTACTAGGTTGTTTTTATCCTCCTTTCTCACGGAACAATACACTGTTCATACTTTTTCTCGGATTATCAATTTATAGTAAATTTCTATAATGATCCAAATTTTTCCTTTAACAAATATAATAAAAATTATATTCCGACGCTTTCTCCGATTTGAATATTTGAAACATTCGAAAGGAGTTTTATGTGATTAATAAAATGAATAATTATCTTCGAGAAATTAGTTAAATTGGAATAAGAAAATACACAAAGATCGTCTAACATAAAATGATCGTAAAATCGCGATTTCTAGCGAAGACTTGGAGACTCACTCGCGTGCCATCGGGACTTAGAGCCCAGGTTAACGGTTCTCCGTTCGCCTTCTCTACCTCCCACCCGCCCTTCTTCTCTTCCCCTTCTCATCCTCCTTTCCTCTTCTCCAACGTCCTCACCGCCGTCTGCAGTATTCTAATTAACATTCCGCGTATTTATTAGACGCGGATCGGCAATTAATCAGCTGGATTCAATTAGCGAATTACCAATTAGCACGCACGCGTTCACACGCTCGCCCGGGACGCGGCCCGGTGTTCGCTTCGAGGGAGAATATGTATGTGTGTATGTGTTTGGTGAGAGAGAGAGAGAGCGAGAGAGAGATAGGACCGAGAGAGATCCTGTTGGACGATTGCAGAATAATCGTGTATCGAGGCTAAAGCGATAGGATACCACTTCGTAGTAATTATTTGTATAGCATTTAGAACTGTTTCAAAGGATTCCGACTTTACTATTTGAGAAACTTGAATTATCTTACGTTTATACACTTTTCGAATGTTCGAGAATCGAGATATATTTTGAATAAAGAATTAACGATCGGATGATAATCTTATCATTTCTATTGAATTGGAACCAGCTACTAAGTTTAGAGAAAACGTTTGATATCATACAAACGATATTATTAATCGTCTTTGCATTGCTCATACGATCAGGTTTTCTAATCTCATGTTTATCGACATGTTGTGTATCGTTATGGTAAATAACCCCGTTTATTTTAAGTATCTAAATAGAAACATGTCGAGTAATATGTTTCTCATATAGTTTAAGTTGTACCAAAGGATGCACCCAAAGAAGAAGAAGATCTTCCCTACTCGAAGTGTCTCTCGTTTTTTTGTCTGGTTTATGATAAGTGAATATACGTAGGTACATACGTTTGATTATGTTTCTTAAGGTATCAGTATGCGCGCATGGGACCGATCCAGTTAGGGGAAGACGAGATTTATGTAAGTTTTCTTTTTCTTTTCTTATTTCTTTTCTACTCTGATCGCGTTGTCTAACGATTTACGTTGGACAGGTTTTTTAATTACTTTCTCATTCAGGTTACCTACTCGATAGATGCTTATCCCCGTAACGATCTTTCGAAACGTAATTGAAAGTACAAGGAAGAAGGAGGAAGATCTACTACTTATCCTTTACGGTTAAAGTCTTACAAGAAAAAGTGAAAGAGAGAAAGAAACATGTGTCTCACCTTTCCTCGGCTTCCTTCATCCACCTTTCCAGAACTGGTTTGATTTTTTGCGCACTTTTAGGCGTGATGTCCAGCTTTTCGAATCTAAACCGAACATGAAACAGATTATCATTGTCAGGATCGTATTATTTGTTTAAATAGTAGAGTAAGAGTTCTTTTTTGATTTTTTTTTTCAAATAGAATCAATTAACACACGATCATCCACACCGAAATGTGCGTTCGACGAAGGAGCACTAAGAAAATAGGGCATGCATCGATTTAATTAACAGGACATTGACAATACGCGTGCATGCTTTCAAAGATTTGGTGATGCCGTGTATGATGTTGCCAACGCAGTTCGTCGCCAAAGAAGAAGATCGAATCCGAGGATCGAAAGGACAAAAATAAATAAAAGATAGATAGAAATGTATAGATAGATAGATAGATAGATAGATAGATAGATAGATAGATAGTTGGATAAATAGAGAAAAAGAAAATAGATATTATTAATTTATTCTCGTTTCCTTTCTTGTAATTTTGTTCTTTTTTGTTAAATAACGAAAAGACAGCGACAGTTCGAGTATCATCGATACATTCGTTGCGTTGGCGACATCATGCCCAAGTTTGCCAATGCCCTGGCTCGGAGAGAAACTATTCGTTAATCTCAAAAAGTGCTCCTTATATCGCAATTTTTTCTTTTCCGGATGCGGAATTAGAAATTAGTAAGAGTTTTTTGCAGCTATACCCAAATATGCCCGATCGGATTCGCGTTACGGTGAATATTCAAAATCAGTTCATCGTTGGATCACATTTTATTTTATTTTATTTTATTTTATTTTATTTTATTTTATTTTATTTTATTTTATTTTATACGACCTATTAAGAAGACATTGATTTTTGTTCCAAAATGACAATGACATCGAGTTATTAGCTCGTCGATACATTTTTTTTTGATGTACTTAGAATTATTTTCCTAAAAAGTTGAACGATTATTATCTTTGGCCCGTGAACGAACCACCTTATCTGCACGCTTGGGTATAACCGCGTTGATTTTTAGAGTTTTTCTTTTTTTAATTTTTAGGTGAATTAGGTAGCATATGAGGGGTGAACGTACGTAGCTTGCTGCTGTGACACAATCTGCGAGGCAGCGTACATCTGGGTAGCCAGGGCACTGGGGAACAATCACCAATGCTTAAATTAGTCGATACGATTAAATAAGACTCTAAATACTTTTCTAATATTTTAACTAACACGCTTTGCTAATGGCACACACTCAACCACGTTGGTTCCCATTCTCGTTCCATCGCAAAGTCCTTCATATTCGAAGATTTTTTTCGTTCTCTTCATTTATTTGTATCTAATTTCTAATGGACAAAAAAATCATGGACAGAAAATTCACATATCTTCGATTTAAGGAACCAACGTAGTCATTCGAGTTGTGACGAGAAGAAATCAAATAATTCTTGCACGAAAAACATTGAAATCCTTCGTGATAGGTTACTATTAAATCGCTTGTACGTTAAATGCGTGTACACGAATCGGATTCGATTTCGCGAAGAACGCGACGATGAGATGCGTGAAATCTCATATATATATTCTTTTTTGTATTTTATATTTTCCAAACTTTTTAAGAATTTATCATCCTGAAAAATGTCCGTATTGAAAAAATTCTACAAAAAGTTTCTCTCTTTTTATTTTTTTTTTGTTTTTTTGTTTTTAATATATTTTATATATATATATCGAACGGTGTCGACCTTTTTAAACGCCATTTCCAGTGACCTGGCACACTATTCGTCGTATTATAATTGTTTTATTTTCTTTTTTTGACTACTCTCCTCAGCGATGTTAGTTTCTCTTCCTTGTCTTTTAATATTAATCTTATTCCTTTTATAAATATTAATGGAAAAAAATATCAAATAAAAGAGCCTACCGGCATATGGCACTCTGACTATAAGCAGGACCTTCGGTAACGCTAAGGGCTTGACCAACTTGGGTCTGCGTTAGGCCCAAGGAAAGTCTACGAAGTTTAAAAACTTTCGCAAACTCCTTGATTTCGTCAAGGTTGATACCATCTACGACGTTGTTCGTGGCTTCGTTGATTGTCGGTTGATCTGAAAAAAGAAAAATTATACTACGATAAAGACAACATTTCATTCGAATCAGTTAAAACAAAAATCTGTATATTGATAATAATTGAATGTAGTACTTATTACATGAAAACGTCTTAATTAAAAAATAAAAATAAAAACAATAAGAGAGAGAGAGAGTGAGAGAAAGAGAAATAAAAGGAAATTAGAAAATAGTAACTTGTACTACATAGTTTGTTAGAAAAAAAAACAAACAAAAAAAGACGAAGGATGTATCATATCTCGGTTCTCTTAATTGCAGACTAGAGAGGATAGGCACGAGGAGATATCGGTTTATCCAGTATATACAGAAGTTATTCCGTGATCGTTCCTAACGGCTCACATTCCTAACGCATTAGGCTCGCGATGTAGTCTCGGTCGAGCGAGCGTGCACGTTTTCGATCGATTCGTCAGAACGTATCTTGGCAGCCGGCGAGAAGCTGCCTAATGACATCAACCGTGGCGGCAACGTCGGCTTCGTTAAAGTACTTTGAATTACATCGATTTCACTCGTAAATCTGTCACCCCAAATGTTTCTAAGGCGTGTATACGCATAAACAAACACGTCTTGCCCCACGTCTTTACAGATGGTTTGATCTTAAATACTTTCCTACGCCTACTTTTCTAACATCGCGAAACTTTTCTTTTTTTTTTTTCTCTCTTTACTGATTTTATAACAATAATCAATAAGGTAATAGAAAGTCGTTTCTTAAAAATTAATTATTGTTTTTTTCTAAATTTTAATTCTACTTTACGTAAACGAATTTATATCATTACTATCACGCGTAAGATATTGTTACTAAAACTTGTCATCTTTCCTATGTTATATGCTAAGGAATTTTCGATAAATTGAAATTGACTAGATTAGCTTTATACGTATAGTTAAGAAATTACCGAGAGTGAATCTTACGCTTTAAAGTGTGGAGCAACGTTATAATCTATCTTCGCTTTAGCAGAGCTCGATGATGTTCCCCATTCGATAATGGCAATTGAGTATCGTTAGGCGGTGAATGATCATTCGAGTAGAGTGGAAATGACGAAGTGGTCAGACTATAGAAGACGACTACACGGCTATGATTGTGAATTATTAAAATTATTATCGGCAGGTTCGAGGTTAGTCTCAAACCATCGTTGAAATCATCGATGGAATCGTCGATGGGTTCCTAGAAGACGGCCACTAAGTAGCCAATCTAATGTCCCGTAATGAGGCGGAATGTTGTACTATATCCTGTTGTACGTTACCATGGGATTACCGAGCTACTCGACTCGAGTTCCAGCGACTACTAGCTTAAGTACACTCTCGTGTAGAGGATTGACTGAGTTATTACTACTTGCAATCGTCTTCCGATTGCCAACAATATAATACCTTATCATCAATGATTCATGTCACTCAAAACAGATTCTAAGAGTAAATCATTTTTTTTTTTTTGAGATATTAACAAATTATAGAAGTTGATGAAAATATATTGAAACTTTCTCAAGAATTTATTCCTTTCGAAAATATCGATATTTTCTCGATACATAGACGATTGTCGATCTAACTAACACAAGTTTTGATAGAAGAAAATTTCGATGAGTTTGTTTGAGAAGTTCGATAAAAAAAATAAGATGGGTCGTTCTTACTCGGAGAGTCGTTAAGAAGATCATCTTCTTCCTCCTTGGGACTGTGCATAGTACTTGGAGAGGCCTTTATTCCTCCAGTTCCACTAGGACCGTGCGTCGTCGTGATGGTAATCTCACCGTTGCTAGACGTCAATCTGTTTAGAGCAGAGGCTGCGGAGGCTACAGATTCGTTCAAAGGCGACGACTGTTCCGGCCTTTCTCTGTGATGCTTTTCTGGTGGCTGTGAACGATACGATAGCATGATAGAAAGAATGAGAAAGAAAGAAAGAAAGAAAGAAAGAAAGAAAGAAAGAAAGAAAGAAAGAAAGAAATAAGGGAAAACAGAAAGAGAAAGAATAAGAGAGGAGGGGTAGGGAAGGGAAGGGAACGGATTAGTTTCTTCATCCCCTCCCCCTCTATCTCTCCGAAGAACGACAATACTCTTCTCTTCCACGCCAATTATGCACTTAATAATGAGACGGAGTCTCGGGATCAGGACACTTTAGAGTCTAATTAGTGGAAGGAACGCCGTCGGTACGGAATACTTTCTTAACGAGATTGCTTGCTATTGGGAATTATTCAGGTCGTACTGTGCTGATCTTACGATGGTTAACGTCTATCCGTTCCGTGGAAACTCCGTGGTTTGGTCGTAGATATATATATATATATATATATACATCGTATAGGGATACAAGTTCGTATACATTACCGGGAAACTGATCGGAGAAGAATAATTCTCGTCTCGTGAGGTCATTACGATCGATCTAACAAAGTATAGAAACCTAACAGATAAGCTTAAGAAAATTAATAGAGAGAAAGAGAGAGAGAGAGAGAGAGAGAGAGAGAAAGAGAGAGGGAAAGGATAGTTGAAATCGTTTATCGTAGTTTTATTTTCTTGATGTATTATCTTATTTTTTGATTAAGCGATTTGCAAACACGTTAGAGAATGATCTAGTTTGTGATTAAAGCGATTTCCAAAACCACGTTTACATTACCGGTGTAAGACACGTAACGATATTGAACGAGGTAGAGCGTTAGCTTCACTTACCGTATAATGATTCATGTGCGAGCCATGTCGATGGCTGTGCTGTTGCGGTGACGTTGTGAGAAGTGGTTGTTGAGAAGCCTGGGCAGCTTGGACGGCTTGCGCTGCCTGAGCTTGTGCCGCTTGAGCTGCCTGAAGCAGCTGCTGGGGTTGCATTGCATTCAGAAGCTGCTGGCTCGCCGAACTGTTGCTCAAAAGGTGAGGCAGTGCTGCGGGATTCAAGCCTAATCCCGATGCCAGACTCGGACTTGTCGGAACTAACGCACAAACAAACGCGCGCGCGTGCACACACATTCAGTCTAACGTTTATAGTAACTCGAGGAAATACACTTTGTACCTTGTTATCAAATTGGGTTAAATGTAGGGAAGAATAATACATGATTCGCGTAAGAAAATTAGCTATTCAGATGCGAAGGGATATATCAAACGAATTTATTTACAAGGATTTAGAATTTTCTTGTTTTTGTTTTTTTTATTTTTTTGTTAGAATCTTACGTGCTATAATTATTAAGAAGAAAGATAAGCTCTCTTACCGTTGCTCGTTGGCGTGTTCAACATATTTTGAGGTTGGGCGATCGATTGAAGATTTGCCAACGTCGTTGAAACTACTTGACCATTGCTGAGTGCCAAGTTAACCATTTGATTATTCGTAACGTGGTTTACGGGAATGGTCAATATAGTTTGCGTTGCTATACCTAAATAGAGAAAACTATGCTATAATATGCTATACTTAAATAAGTTAACTCGGTAAAGTATACTTTGGTTAAAATGTTACTTAAGGTATATTAAATCTTAAAAACATTCTCCAATTCGATAAACACTTCGTTTCCATTATGTAGCTAATCCACGCGTCGTTGATCCAGGATGGATAGTAAAGTTATCAGAGTCTCATAGAGGGATTATTAGGCAACCCATAGGGCAGGTAACCTCCCAGGCTAGCGTAGTTGGCAAACTATTATCGTCATCTTAATAGTGGGTACAGGTACTGGCCCTGGACTGGGCTGCGAGAAGGACGCCTAATCATACTTAGAATAGTTTCGGGATTACCTCCAGCTCCGCTAATCTGATTACCCTGTACACGCGCTTAATATGATTACTGATCATGAGTACGTACCCGTGTTGGTACCTATAGCCGAGCTAAGCAAATCCTGTATTCCGAACAGCCATAAAAGTTTCACGTTCTGAGTTAATGTCAACTGACAATCCGATTATGGTTTACGATAACGAATAGTAAGTCGGAAAAGTTTTACATCTTTTTCTTTTATTTCTAACATTTCTCTATAGTGTTTAGATAAATACTTGTTTAAGAAATATTTGTTGAAGCTACAAAGAAATATTTGACAAGTATTTTCTTAGATGTAAGAAAGAGAGAAAGAGAGAAAGAGAGAGAAAGACATAAACACCATTGACTCTAATACAATCACTTATTTTATTTTAATCAATTCGTCTCGGTCTGAAACTTCAATCAACTTAAGCTGCTTTCTCTCCGTCTACGTTTCTACCTCTTCTCTTTCTCTCCTTTACTCTTCGTATCCTCAACCCTCTCTCTGTGCCCCTCGATTGTCAGAATAGGAACTTAACTTGGTAGAAACGAAGTTAGTGTGGACCACAATCGATATAATAGCCGCCGAATCCGCGAAGCTGATGTCCAGCTCGAGTAGCCGGGCGGGAAGGGATAGTTCGGAGGGCGGGACCAAGGAAAGGAGAACGGGGAAAGAGCAGCTATGGGTGGGACAAGGATCTGTAAGGTTGGAATGGGGTAGTGAGACGTTAATTATACATTGAAATTAGTTGCAGAGTTTGCCCTATGCTTGCCGAGGCGATCTAGAAGCACTACTAAGTATGGCCGACTGGTCAGCCTTCGTTGAAATTAACCAGAGATAGTCGATATAAATAATATATATATATATATTGTACATAGATCGGACAATATTATTATTACTATTATTATTATGTATTCCTACATTTCACTGTATCTTATCGATTAGAAAATATCATTTACCTGGAACCAATGGTAAATTATCAAACAACGAACTTACCTTGAGAAGTAGGAATTAAAAGTTGGGCTCCTTGAAGACCCTGAACCAATTGACCGGACATTAGGATGAACTGTGGCATTGCCACTGGTTGTGGTTGAGACAATAACTGAGGTAACGTCACCATTGGCGCTGGACTTGGTGGCAAAAGATGTGGTCCTGATGTTGTACTCGAAGCTGTTGGCGCAGTACCTCCTGCAAAAAGAAAAATAATAAAACGCATTTCATATTATCTCTCAGCGATTTAGGTATATTCGATTATTTAGAAAATTAATGTTATATCTACCTGATGAGCTAACGGTTAGATTTAAAGGAGTATTGATCAGCTGGTTGTTGCTTAGTCCTGCTGTCATTCCTTGAAGACCGGCTGCCAATGATGCAACTTGTGGAAGATTCTGAAGATTCGCTAGATTTTGAAGGTTTTGTAATGTCACCATACCGGCCACTGTAATTGAAATTATTTTGTTTTTTTTATTTAACATCGAATCATTCGAATATCTCATTCATAAATTATCGTAAATAAATAAATTTCATTACTTACTAGTTCCATTGAGATGAGCTTGCGCTACCGCAGCTCGTTTCGCCTGATGAAGATTTTCCGGCGACGGGCTTCTCAGTCTCTTCCGAGAATTTTTTACATCGTCCATCATCATTTGATGCTCGTGCAACGATCCTGTCGCCGATTCGGGACTCTCCAAATTCTGTAGATTTTCTAAATTTTGTAAATTTTGAAGAGTAACCATTGCAGCCACTGTAATACACACACAAAAATATTAAGTAAACAATCTCGATCGATTTATCGATTAATTTTTGTTTTCTGATTCTTACTGGTTCCATTAATATGTGCTTGTGGTACAGCTGCCCGTTTAGCTTGATGCAAGTTCTCAGGAGACGGAGTCCGTCGTCTTTTTCGAGAATTTTTTATATCATCCAACATCATTTGGTGTTCGTGCATAGCGCCTGTTGCTGGTTCTGGACTTCCAACGCTACTCCTGTCGCTATCCTGAAACAAGAGTTGCGAGGAGTTCTTTTTTTTATAGAATTTTTGTTCATATTACTTATTAACTTTTGTACTGGTGGTCATGATGTATCTCACCGTTTCTATCCATTGAAAAATAGAGGCTCGGGACATTTTGTTCACCCTTTTCTGCCTCATTCTTTCTCTCTCTAACACACATACACACACACACACACACACACGCACACACATATACTTTCTATTTCTCTCTTCCTCTTTCTATCCAAAATCAATCGAACGAGCACGCAAAGGTTTTAGCACAAGCTTGCAATCATTCTCGCCAAAATGCTCAATTATACGCGCGTGGTTCGTTAACGTACCACGCTTTTTATTGCGGCGGCACGTTTAACGCTGAAAATTGATTAATAATCATTCACGGTCTAGCTATCACATATAGGTATAAATGCTTCGCTTCGAAATAATGGTAGACATCCGAAATAGGGGGAAAAAAAAGAAAAAAAGAAAAAAAAAGGATAAATTCGATCATTGTAAATGTGTGAGAGAGTGTGCGAGAGCAACAGAGAGATAGAAATAGAAAAAAAGAGAGAGAGAAAGGGAAAGGGAGAAAGGGAGATGTTGAGAGGAAGGCAGAATACCAAAATTATCAGTGAAAGGTGCGATCGTCGTTAAAAATTTGTTCGAGCTATGTCATTCTTTATATTCATTTTTTTTGTTTTTTATTTTTTATCATTATTATCAACGATCGTTACTCCAAATGTGAGTGAGAGAGAGAGAGAGAGAAAGAGAGAGAGAGAGAGAGAGAGATTCGAACTACTAATAGATGACATAGACAAGAAGAGACTAGAAAATTAGCCAGAACAAAATTGGTCGTATCGAATAGGTAACAGTTGTTGTTAATTTGAATTGATTATCAAAGCGTAGATCTTATTCGTCCTTTTCGTGTAGCCAGAAGTAATGAGCCAAGGTATCGGTGACACAAATCGATGTCATTTTCTTGACAATCTCCTGATTCGCAAAGCCGATCGTAAATTTCGCACGATAGCCTTTTGCGGTTCGAATTGGCTAGGTCCATTTAACCGAGGACATGTTGCTTGATCGACGATGAACGAGAGGAGAACTAGGTATTACGTAAAATTATGACGAGGATTCGCCTGTGTATATTAGGTGTCCTACGTAGTTATCGTTCACAGGGAAAGAAAAACGAAAGATTGAGAAAAGGAAAGAGAAAAAGCAAGAACAGAGAAAGGGGGAAGAAAGAAAGAGGCATAAGAAGAAGAAGAAGAAGAAGAAGAAGAAGAAGAAGAAGAAGAAGAAGAAGAAGAAGAAGAAAAAAAAATATATTAATGACCTGTCCCTATCTCTCCTTCTTCGGCTTTCGTGCAACGCGATATATAATTCATGCATATTTACGGGGATACCCGAGGAATAATTAACGGACGCCCGGCGCATTAAAGTGGATATACGCTGTCACGTATGTGTGTCCTATGTATGTATGTATCTATATGAAGGTAGGTACGTAGTACGTAAGAACGTACTTGTACACACGTATACAAATTAAGGTATATATATATATATATATATATGTATGTATGTATAGATATAGGAAGGTATATGTATAGACGGGTTCTTAGAAGACAATCTAAATTATAATAAATCGATGGAGAGTACGTACAAGCTACGATACTTTACTACCACACGTGAGTGCATAGAGAAAGATAGGGATGTATATAGATACCTGTATACGCTCATAGAAGAAAGAGGAAGGAATAGAGTAAGAGAGAAGGAAATAGGGGGTTTCCAGCAGCGTCGCACGATGCTGCTGCTCTGGTGTTGTACGGAGTAATGTTACCGGTGCGGCCTCTTTGCATAATGGCATGGAAATATGCCGGAACGTGTATCGCCATAGTTGGATACAGATTAAGCGTTTTAGAGCTTCGACACCCGGGGTAATTCGGGAAAAAGTGTCCCCCAGGTGACTTGGCCCCCATGAATAAATCTGAGAAAAGCTTTCACCCGCTTTCCGTGACGTACCCGCAAGACTCGCCGGGAGGATATACAAGAAGAGAGAAAGAGAGAGACAACGACAGAGACTAACAGATATCGGATTTTGCGGTGAAACTCTCTTTCCGTGTATCCTTTAACAGGATAACGGGGAGTAGTCTGTTATCCTTAATTATCATCTTTTAAACATTCATCAAAGTAACCAAAATATTGTGTAAATATATAACATTTTGATGAAATTTAAATTTTGTTTATAACGATTGTTTATAATATAACCTGGTGAAAAGAATGTTTCGAAAAAAAAAATATAATAATAAGAATGAAATAAATGCAATATATGATTTAAAATTTTCGTTAAAGTGATGGTAACGTAGGATGCGCGCGACTTGTATATAAATCGTTCTACTACCCCTGTAAAATACCTACCTCTACCTAAAAACCAATGTTACCTGCACAAGGCATTTCATTACATAAAAAATAGATAAAGCCCCGGTTCGATAGGTAACGAACGAAAATAGGAGGAATGGTAGTGCATTCGGGTACACACCTACGAGGTAGTTTAATTTTTTTTTTTTTTTAAGCCAAATTCGTAAATGACTATAGAGAGTAGTGGGATGGCTGCCTGGACCATCACAAACCCTCTTCTACTGCCCCTCTCCTCCCATATTAAATGGACGAGTCGAGGGGGATTAGTGGAATGCGCGGGTACCCCGACCATTTTGCTTGTAAAAGTGCGCAAACGATATATGTATGTATGTATGTATGTATGTATAAAAAGAGAGGGAGAGAGGAATGTATCTATAAAGCCGTAGAAACGTATGTTTACGGGCTTTTGGCATTTCGCATAAATTAATAAACTGTAACGTTTGACGGCATCTCCTCGTTCTCTGGCTATCTCTTTCTCTGGTATTCTTTAATACAATTTAGGATAAAACAATATTTATTCATTTTATTATTTATAGTATGAGGATATTAATCTAATAAAATGTTTTAAGTATTCAATAGGTTTGTTTTAGTATAGGTAATTTTATTTTTGAAAGATAAAAAAATTTACTGAAAACTTTGTCAAATAATTATATTGACAAAGTGATTTGTTTTCTGAAATCAAATGGGGATAGATAAACGATATTACAAATAAAAGAAGCACTGAATCGTCGATATTGTTTGATTTTAGAGTCAAATAGAAATTTATCGGAAGAAAATTTAAAATCGTCGTGTTAGGTTGTTAGATTGTAAGGTACATATTAGGATGCTTTGAATTTTTGGAAATAATCGTTCGATAAAATATCGTCACACAAGAAAAAGTAGCACTCGCTAATACGCGAAAAAGACGCGAGATACGTAGCAGTCCCTCCGTTGTCTACCCACTCGTGGAAAGAAAATGAAGCAAAAGAAGAGTTCGTGCTGGATGAGGAAAAGGGCGAATAGGATGAAGAGGATGAAGAGGTGGAAGAAAGAGAAGAAAAAAAATAGGGGCTGAGGGAACGTACGTATATCTCTACGCGTATGGCGGAAGGACGTTAAAAAACGATACGTGGGGGAGAGTGCAGAAGAGTCGCAATGGTGTGAGTAGAAAAAAAAAGAGTAAAAGAAGCAGGAGACAGGGGATGAGAGAAGAGGGTAGGTGGTAGGTTAGAATGGTTGGCGGTGGTCGGTCGTTGGAAATGCAACAATAAACATTACTTATCGATGGGCAAGCGGAGGCCCTTTAACAATGCGTATAGGACGCGAGTCGAGGCCAAAGCGCGCGAGGCAAAGCGCAAGTTTTTTGCAATAAAGTCATTTCGACCGTTTGAGTTATGGGTAATTCCTGGGAAGCTAGTAGGTGCTTGCGCGCGGGCGTGCACGAGTACAACCAACCAGGGAGAATCACCGGCAACAGCGGCAGCGGCAGCAACGGCAGAGTAGTACACTACCTCTCCTCCTCCTCCCTATTCGCCATCCTCCTCCGTCGGTCCGGTCCATTGATTAGTATTAATGACTTAGCTGCACTCATTTCGCCCGAATAAAAGTAATTGGATTTGGCTTGGAAGCCCGCGAGCCGCGCCAGCGGCGTCGCTGGCGTCGACCATCGTCGCCGCCACCGTCGTCGGTTTTCAAACGAAACCCGTGGCCGCGTGTAAAAATACATTAATATCTGTTTGCGCTTAATAAACGATAGCCAACACACCCCACCAGAACGTACACCTTCGAACTCACACCCAACTCCGTCCGACTTCAGACTAATGGCCGTATTCCGGAATCGGTAATACGCGCTTTTTTTACCCACGCCACTCCCCTCCCCAACTACTACTCTTTCCCCTTTTTTTCCAATTCCACAGTGTATTCGAGCATTCTCCTACGACCCTTAGATTTTCTCATCGAATTCAAACCTTGATCTTGTTAAAGACGGGCTCAGGAATATATTCCGAATGGCTTATTTGATTCTAGGATCTCAGGAATCTAAGAAAAAAAAGAAAAGCTGCTTTAATCTCTCAGACTTTTTCTTTCTTTTTCAACGTTTTTCTTCTTGTCAATTCATCTATGTATATATACAGCAAGGGTTCTAACGATTGCAGGATGACGCAGTTATTTACAATTGAACGAAACCGTTCTCTCTTGGTAAAACTCGTAGAATTTCCTTGTCAGTCCAGTTCACGAATCGTTAGATCGATTAGGTTTAGACAGTTTACTAGTCTCAAAGTAAAGCGACCGTTCTAGTACGATGAATATCCTCGAGGAAACGATAGTAGAAGGGGTTGCAATTATCACGTGGTCATTGCGAACCGGTGTTATCAGGAGAGTCGGAAGAGACAGAGACAAAGATAGAGAGACGATGATGGGGTAGCAGGGAGCCGAGCGAGTGAGCGAGCGAGCGAGCAAGCGACCGACCGACCGACCGACGACCAACCCTTCGGCTCGAGCCGCTTTGTCTGTAAGTGTAATTAGTCGAGGGTGGGGTTCCTGCGAGGCGAGGCATGGGTCGTTGGAAGAGAGGATCAGGACGAAGAGAGAAGGAAGCCGCCCTGAAGGGGAAGGGCTCA